ATGAAATAGAAACTAAAAATAAATAGAAAAACTAGATGAAACTAAGAGCTAGTTCTTTGAAAAGATAAACAAAATTAACAAACCTTTAGCTAGACTCACCAAGAAAACAGAAGAGAAGCCTCAATTAAAAACAATCAGAAATGAAAGAGGAGAAATTACAACAGACACCATAGAAATACAAAGGATTATAAAAGAATACTACAAAAAGCTATATGCCAACAAATTGGATAATCTAGAAGAAATGAATAAATTCTTAGAATTGTTCAACCTTCCAAAACTGAATAAAAAAGACAGAAAGAATAGATTGATCACCAGTAAGGAGATTGAAACAATAATCAAAGACCTCCCAAAAAACAAAAGTCCAGGACCAGACAGCTTCCCTGGTGAATTCTACCAAACATTCAAGAAAGACTTAATACCTATCCTTTTCAAAAAATTGAAGAGAAGAGGAAGTTTCCTAACTCATTCTATGAGGTCAACATTACCCTGATACCATAACCAGATGAGGACAACACAAAAAAAGGAAAATTACAGGTCAATATCACTGATGAACATTGATACAAAAATTCTCCACAAAATAATAGCAAATCAAAACGATACATTAGAAAGATCATCTGCCATAATCGAGTGGGATTTATTCCAGGGATGCAGGGATGGTTCAACATCCACAAATCAATCAATATGATAATCAACATTAACAAAATGAAGACAAAAAAATCACATGATTGTCTCAATAGATGCAGAGAAAGCATCTAACAAGATACAGCAGCCATTTATGATAAAAATTCTGAATAAAATCTGTATAGAAGAAAACACCTCAACATAATAAAGGCCAAAAACGACAAACCCACAACTAATATCATACTCAACGGTGAAAAACTGAAAGCCATCCCTTTAAGAACAGGAACAAGGCATGGATGCCTACTCTTAACACTCTTATTTAACACAGTATTGGAAGTCCTAGCCAGAGCAATCAGGCAAGAATAAAAATAAGGGATCCAAATTGGAAAGGAAGAAGTACAACCATCACTATTTGCAGATGACATGACTTTATATATAGAAAATCCTAAAGAATCCATGAAAAAAAACTATTAGAAATAATAAACGAATACAGTAAAGTTTCAGGGTACAAAATCAACATACAAAAATCAGTTATGTTTCTATGCAACAACAACAAAATAGCAGAAAGAGAAATTAGGAATACAATCCCATTTAGAGTCACAACAAAAAGAATAAAATACATAGGAATAAATTTAACCAAAGAAGTGAAAGAACTGTACTTTGAAAACTGTAAAACACTTGAAAGAAATAAAAAAAGACACAAAGAAATGGAAACATATCCCAAGCTCATGGATTGGAAGAATTAACATGGTTAAAATGACCATACTTCCTAAAGCAATCTACAGATTCAATGCAATCTCTATTAAAGTCCCAATGACATTTTCACAGAAATAGAACAAAGAATCCTAAAATTTATATGGAAGAACTAAAGACCCCAAATAGCCAAAGGAATCCTGACAAAAAGGAACAAAGCAAGAAGGATCACACTCTCTGATTTCCAAATATACTACAAAGCTATAGTAATCAAAACAGCATGGTACTGGCACAAAAACAGACACGCAGATCAATGGAACAGAATAGAGAGCCCAGAAACAAACCCACACATCTGTGAACACCTAATTTTCAACAATAGAGCCAAGAACATAAAATGGAGAAAGGAAAGTCTCTTCAGTGAACGGTGTTGGGAAAACTGGACAGCCACATGCAAAAGAATGAAAGTAGACCATTATTTTATACTATACACAAAAATTAACTCAAAATGGATTAAAGACTTGAATGTAAGAACCGAAGCCATAAAACTTCTAGAAGAAAACATAGGCAGAACTCTCTTTGACGTTGGTCTTAGCATTATATTTTTGAATACCATGTCTCACCAGGCAAGGGAAATGAAAGAAAAAATAAACCAATGGACCTATATCAGACTAAGAAGCTTCTGCACAGCAAAGGAAACCATCAACAAAACAAAAGACAACCTAAGCATTGGGGGAAGATATTTGCAAGCCATATATCTGATAAGAGGTTAAGATTCAAAATATATGAAGTACTCATACAACTCAACAACAACAAAACAACCTAAATTTAAAAACAGGCAAAGGATCTGAACAGACATTTTTCCAAAGAAGACATACAGAGGGCCAACAGGCACAGATGTTTAACACCACTAATTATTAGGAAAATGAAAATAAAAACTACAATAAAATATTACCTCATGCCCATCAGAATGGCTATAATTAACAAGATAAGAAATAACCGTTTCGGAGAGGATTTGGAGAAAAGGGAACCCTCATATACTACTGATGGGAATGTAAACTGGCACATTCAGTATGGAAAACAGTATGGAGATTCCTCAAAAAATTAAGAATAGAATTACCATATGATCGAGCTATTCCATTTCTGGGTATTCATCCAAAGAACATGAAAACACAAATGTGTAAAGATATTTGCACCCCTATGTTCATTGCATTATGGCTAAGAAATATGAATGCACTATAGCTATTGCATTATTCACAATAGCCAAATCTTGGAAATAACCTGAGTGCCTATCAATGGGTGAATGGATAAAGAAGATGTGGTATGTATACACAATGAAATACTACTCAGCCATAAAAAAGGCAAAATCTTGCCAGTTGCAACAACATGGATGGACCTTGAAGGTATTATGCTAAGCAAAATAAGTCAGATGGAGAAAGTCAAATGCCACATGATTTCACTTATAAGTAGAAGATAACAACAAGAACACACAAACACAGAGAATAGATTGGTGGTTACCAGAAGGGAAGGGGGGAGGGAGGAGAGTGAAAGGAGTAATAGGGCACATGTGTATGGGGATGGATGGTAATTAGCCTTTGTGTGGTGAACATGATGTAGTCCACACACAAATCAAAATATAATGGTGCACACCTGAAATTTATATAATGTTACAAACTAATGTTACCTCAATAAAAAAATCTAATTAAAAATGGGCAGAGAATCTGAATAGACACTTTTCCAAAGAAGGCATACAAATGGCCAGTTAACATACAGGTACATAAAAAGGTGTTCAACATCATCAATAATCAGGGAAACACAAATCAAAACCACCTCAGATATCACCTCATATGGGTTAGAATGGCTATTATCAAAAAGACAAGAAATAATAAGTATTGTCAAGGATGTGGAGAAAAGGGAAACTTTGTACATTATTCGTGGGAATGTAAATTGATGCAGCTACTATGGAAAACAGCACAGAGGTTCTTCAAAAAATTAAAAATAGAACTACCATATGATCCAGCAACTCCACTTCTGAGTATTTATCCAGAAAAAATAAAGACACTAACTGGAAAAGATATCTAGACCCCCATGCCCATTGCTTGGTTATTTCCAGTAGCCAAGATATGGAAACAACCTAAGTGTCCATTGATAGATCAATGAAGAAACTGGTATATACATATACAACGGAATATTATTCAGCCAAAAAAAAAGAAGGAAATCCTGCCACTTGCAACAACTTGGATAAACCTTAAGGGCATTAAGCTAAGTGAAATAAGTCAGACAAAGAAAGACAAACACCGTGTGATCTCATTGATATGTGGAATCTTAAAAAAAAACACCAAACTCATAGATAGAAAGGACAGATTGGTGGTAGACAGGGGCAGGGTGTAGGAGGTGGGTGAACTGAGTGAAGGTAATCAAGAAGTACAAACTTCCAGCTATAAAATAAATTAGTTCTGGGGATGTAATGTACGGCATGGGGAATATAGTTAACATTGTACTGTATATTTGAAAGTTGCTAAGAGAGTAGGCCTTAAAAGTTCTCATCACAAGAAAAAAATTTGTAACTAAGTATGATGATGTACAAAAAAGGTACAGAACTGTTCCATCAGCTTATAGGAACTCCACATGCTCATCTTTTATAGCCATATCTTCTCACCCCATCCCCGTCCTTTAACCTATTCTCCACCTTCGTTGTTTTGTCTTTTTGAGAATGTTATATAAATGGAATCATATAGCATGCAACCTTTTGAAACTGTTTTTTTCACTAAGCATGATGCCCTTGAAATCCACCCAAGTTGTTGCATGTGTCAATAGTTCATTCCTTTTCGTTGCTTAGTAGTATTCATTGCATGGATGTACCACTGTTTGCTTAACCATTTACCCATTGAAAGACATTTCAGTTGTTTCCACTCAAATGTTTTTTTTAAAGTAGATCATTTGCAAACCTTGGGTCTTTCACTTTTATAAATAAATTTCAAACCACTTCAAGAATGATTGATTCACTGAGCAAGAGTTTCTGAGCAAGATGAATGCAGTCAGAGGTAGGAGTAGGTGGGTCACGAAAACAGCTGTCATTTGTAATGAGCATCACATGGAATGTCACTCTAGATAAATATGACTTTACAAGGGTGACTTTTAAAATTCTCTAAGCACTAACTAGTTGATAGCTTAATCCTAAACCATATCAAGTCTCAGGAGTCTATGCAGGCAGCGGATCAGAGATGGTGGGCATGAGGCAAAGAGAGCTGGTCCAATTGAAACGTTACATAGGAGTAAGAACGAGGGGTGACAGGGGAAAATGGTATGCAAAAGAGTAGAGCATCACCTTTCCTGTGGTTCTGAAACAGGAAAGATGACAACATGGGAGTAATTTATACTTCTCATTTCCCTCAAGTCACCAGTAGCTGAACTGTCACTGCCATTCAGTATCACGCCCCTTTGAGTCTGCACTTTATGCCTAGTAATAGTCATTTCATCACTGATTTTACAAAGCCACGTATGGAAAGAAAACCAAAAAAAAAAAAAAATGGCAATGTTCTGTGTTACGACAAATTCAAAAGAATGTGCTCTCTTTTAAGCTAAGTTTCTATACATGTGAAGTTAGCTCGAGTTCACCTTGGGTAAATAATTTACCTTACCCAGACCTTCAGTTGCTAAGCCCACAAAACAGAATAGTCACATCTTACCTTCCTGAAGGCAATGATACAGGTCCAAAAGATTCCTTGAACTGCCAGTTTCACCATTTCATTAAAACAGTGTTCTATAAAAATACTCTGTGGGAAAGAGGTTTTATGAGGCTCTAGGTGAACAAAAATATATTTTAGACACAGTCCCTGCTCTCAGTGCGCTCACAATTTAACTGAAAAAAACAAACATTGAACGTATAAAGGACGGAGGAGACAAACAAGGCCTTATCCCAGCAACTAGAAATAAATGACTTGGTTCCTTGACATTCTCCTTTTCAATAAATTTTCCTCCACTCTATCTTAGCGGCTCACTTCCACAATCACCTAGATAAAGTCATCACGCTATTAAATCAAACATTCTGATCTGTGACCAGCTCCTTCTCTCCTTCCAGATTGCTTGCTTGAATACCCGCAATGGGATCCCTCCTGGGCCTCCTTGGGCTCTCCAGTCCTTTAGTGTGTCTAGTGTATCTCTTTTCTTTAGCTCCCTTCTGTCTTTTCTTCTCTCTTTTTCCAGAATAAATGTAATGGTCCATCATCTCAATAACTCTTTGCCAAAACCTTAAGCTCTCCTGTCTCTCTTTTCATTCCCTTTTATGGTAAAATCTCTGAAAGAAACTAAATATCTACTTTCGCTATACTTTCTTTACATTTTCTCCACTCTTACTCCACACTTTCTTCATACTTTCTCTACACTTACTCCATACTCATGCACCAGAATTTAAATTAAAAATCCACACAGGAAAGAAAGCTGGTACCCTTGTAAATTCATAATTACTAAATTCAAATGTGTTTTCATTATTCCTGGCAATCCCATTGTGTTTCTGTGACCGACTTTCTCTCTCCTTTCAAAGAGGGCTTTTTCATACCTTCTCTCTCCTCAAACTTCTGCCCTAGACTCATTCTTCCCCTTGCTCCCTGACAAAGCCTACCTCCACCTCAATACAGAAAATAGAGGCCAACAGAGATGAACTCCAAGTTCTTCCAATTTTATCTAGAAAATGTTCCTGTACCCGGATCCACTGCAGCCTCCTTCACTCCTGTTTCAGCACATGTGTCCTTCCTCGTATTCAAGGCCTCCCCTCAAACTGGGTTCCTATTCCCTTTTGAGGTCAACACCATCCGGTTGCTTCTTCTTTCTCTGGTCTCTTCATCTCTTCCTGTATATTAGCCCATCCCATCAGCACTCAGACATGCATGTTCATCTCTAACAAAACTCTTCCTTAACCTCACTTCCTCCGTTTCAGTTATCCTTCTCCCTCCTCCTTCCCTTAGTTTACCAAGAAAAAAGACAAAGTTGTTTTTTACTCTGATGACTATTATTTTTCCCCACAGCTGTCCACCAGTGCTATCACCCCTACCTATCCCTTTTCTAGTAAAAGACCACGCTCTCAATGACAGAAGCGAGCGTAAGTCCTAGGCTTGACCAACTGCGGTCATTCTCTGGCCTCAGCAATGGGTGATTGGCCCTGCAACCTGTGTAACTCAGGGCCCAATGAGGTAAACAGAAAGCACACTGGGTATTTCAAAGAGAGAGGAGTTAATCCAGGAAACTCTTTCCATAAGCATGGAAAAGTTGAAATTGTGAAGTGGACATTAACAACTGTTAGATCTGCAGAAGCAAAAAAAGGGCGAGGGTTAGGAACACAGGATTTCATGGGAGGGGGCCTTGTAGATCTGGTGCTCCGAGCTGTAGAGGGAAGCTCTTCACAACTGGGGTGTGGACTTTTGAGGAGGAGATTTGGTTGGGCAGATCCTTGGACAGCCTGGAAGTTACAGCCTAGAAGGTGACGTGCAGCAGGACAACTGTTACTCCAACTGCCATGGGGATATGTCCTGGAGGTGCTGGTTCCTCTGAGGAACATGGCGTAGGGAGTGCTGGAAGCTAGAAAGAAGCTAGAAGCTGGAGTCACTTTCCTCTGCTGCTGGTGTAAAGAGATAGGAACTGAAAAAAGGGGAAGAAATTCCTTTCCTTCCTCCTATTGACTTCTACTTGTCCTCTAGTGTCTCCCATTGGTAGAACTTAATAAGACACCAGCTGGCAAAGGAGTCTGAGAAATGTAGTTAGCTGAGTCCCAGCCCCAGCATCGCAAAGCAGAATATAAAAGTTTAGAGTGGGGAAAAACCTGGCATATGACCTAAGCTGGATTTGGCTTGAAAATCTTGATCAATAGGAACTTCTTTTCCCTCTCGACTCCTAGGGCCATGAGAATTGATCTGAGTGCAAGCAGCCCGTGGAAAAGTCTAATCAAAGATAACAGCAGAACTAATCAAGCAGGAATATGTGAGTCCAGCACTATCACTGTCCAGCTTCTAAGTCCCTAAAGTTCTAAGAGGTAGCAGAAAAAGAATGGGATCTCCATCAATTCCATCCGGGGGTAGGGGAAGATTGCCCTATAAATAAATTGGAGAAGGACAAGAGAGCGAAGGAGACAGAGAAGCTCTTGTCAGGGAGATAAGAGAGATCAAGACAAGGTCTTAGAAATCAAAGGCAGAGAGTCTCAAGAGCTGGACAGTAATGTCCAATGTCATCGAGTCAATTACCTGAGAAGTGATTGATTAGGCTACACTACTTGTTACTAGTGGTCCCATGCTAAATTTTGTAATCAACGATTTGTTGTATATGTGCCCCCACCCCCTAAAAAACCCTTTTGACAAATTCTTTCTAGATTCCTGATTCAAATTGAGGGCAAGATTCTTGGTTTACAGTTTACAGAATTCACTTTCTTCTCCCTTATGAAAAATCATAGAATTAAAGAGTGAGTACCTGATAGATGCTGTCACCCAGAGAATGCACAGAAAACAGGAACACGACTCAGCCCCTTTTCTGAAAGAAACTACAGGCCTGCCAGGGAGACCATTATTTAAATTGAGGAGCTCTGGATCTTCAGCCAACTTCAGAGGAAAGCTGTGAATTTTCTTCTCTATAACAGGCATATGAGAAATTATTCTTTTAGAAATTAGAAAATACTTACTGGGTCATTTTTTTTTTTTAAAGATTTTATTTTTTTTTCCTTTTTCTCCCCAACACCCCCCAGTACATAGTTGTATATTCTTTGTTGTGGGTCCTTCTAGTTGTGGCATGTGGGACGCTGCCCCAGCGTGGCTCGATGAGCAGTGCCATGTCCGCGCCCAGGATTCGAACCAACGAAACACTGGGCCGCCTGCAGCGGAGTGCGCGAACTTAACCACTCGGCCACGGGGCCAGCCCCTTACTGGGTCATTTTTTAATTCACACCCTGTATTAGTTTGCTAGGGCTGACATAACATAATGCCACACATTAGGTGGCTTAAACAACTGAAATTTATTTTCTCACCGTTCTGGAGGCTGGAAGTCCAAGATCAAGGTGTTGGTGGGTTTGGTTTCTCCTGAGGCCTCTCTCCTTAGCTTGCAGATGGCCGCCTTCTCCGTGTCCTCACCTGATCTTTCCTCTATGCGTGCACATGTCTGTGTCCTAATCTCCTCTTCTTAGAAGGATACCAGTCATAAGGGATTAGGGCCCACCCTAGTGACCTCATTTTACTTTAATTGCCTCTTTAAGGCCCTATCTCCAGGTACAGTCACATTCTGAGGTCCTGGGGGTTAGGGCTTCAACATATGGATTTTAGGGGGATACAATTCAGGCCATAACACATAAGCAATTCCACACAATAGAGTGATTCGTACAGTCAGGTTAGGATGATTCATAAGAGCCGCGGATATTCCACATGAATGAAGATTGCTTTCTAATTCAGTGAAAAACTTATTTTTAAAGAAATATCAGCTTACTTCAAACCAAAGTATTAAAACAGTTGTCTAGAAGGAAATATCATCTACCTAATAAATATTAACACTTATAACGATGTCCCCTTAACTCTCAGCCAAGCTACCTGTTGACATGAATCTTCTGGGCTTGGGTTAGCCCCTCTGCTTGTCATGGCAACAGTTGAATGTGGTATCTGCTGTTCTCATTCCAATCCAGCTCCTTTAAAGAAAAGCCCTTGGGAGTGTGTATACTGTTTACTTTTTACAGCCCTGCATGGCAACAGGATTTGATGTCTCCCTCATTTTAAAAGCTCCTTTCCACGCCCCTCACAAGGCCCTCTAGGAGAAAACCATTTTCCACATATTCCGCTTATGTATCTTAGTAGCTGATTATACACGTATGTTTGTTTCCAAAATACTGCCCGTTACAACTTGCACAGCTTGGAAGCCAGTAAATTGGTTCATTATGCGAAAGTCTACATTTACATGAAAATTTGTCTCCCTTTTCCTGCAGGCAGCAAGTTGCAGCGCCCTGCCCTTCCGAGCCATTCACAGGGTTTGGAAGGGCAGGGCAAGGGCAGAGCACACACTCATACACCATTGCCGTGGCTGGAGAACTGGCTGGTCTTCATGCTCCCCAAGGGAAATTATGCCTCTATTAGATGGCAGGGAGGGAAGCCCTACATCTCTTACTCTAAGAAATTCCTTTGAAGAACTGGATGATGCTGTAACCTGTCACATAGGGTGAGACGATGCCTAGAAACAGTGAAAGCCAAACAAATGCATAAACAAAATCCTCTTTATTAATGGCAAACCATCACACTACTGAACATCAAAAGTGAATGACTCTGCAGATATTAACTGTAAATCTAAGACGTCTATCCTTATTTATTCTCAATGGGATAACTCTAGTATTTTAGAATTTAGACCTAGGAAAAGCATTTTGCCCCCCAGAGAAACCAGGAGACACCATTTTCTCTGGTAACGTGAATGTGTAACAGATTTTTCAACCACACGACCACGGCTCAGGAGCGTACCCTAGACTATTTACAGGTGTGCCCAAATATTGATCCTCTCTGCCCTTAGGTTAGCTGGATCCCTGTTGATAAAGCAGACTCCTCTGTTTTCCACTATGTCCCTTAAAATAACTATAATGTTCTGCTTATACCATGATATAATAGGTAAAAAGCCCTGTTGTAACTGACCGTATTTTCCTCTTTTTTTTTTTCTTGTATCTAGGATGCTCAGAGACAAATGTGAAGTTTGACTATGTAATTATGATAAAGTTAGGATATTTTCATTTTCTTTTCTCCCTTTGCTCTAATTTTCTATTTTGGCAAGTTATTTTGCATGTCTTTTATGCAGATAAATCAAATCCTTTTGGAAAAAATCAAGATAAAAATTTCTGTAGAGAAGTTGAAATATGAAACGTAACCACACAAACATCGCCCTGGCTGTTAAACGAATAAAACTGATGATCATCCTAACAAGAAAAGGGACCTTCGACGAAAGTCCTGCACTAGACTGCAGTTAAGCACGTTTTCATATCTAATTCTCAGTTGTTTCTTCCACATGGTCATTCACTATATTGTTCAAAAATGTGTATTCAATGAGTCTTAAATCAACAATATTCAGTTATATGTGTGCATTGTCAGATAAAAATACAGTTAATATGCAGTGATATATAGCAGTGGAGGGGATGGAGCATGTGGGGAGCTTCTAAGGTGAAGAACTTAAAATGCATAACTGAACGTTTCTTTAAAAATAATACCTTCAATTCTATGCTACCATATTCCAGCTTCAAAGAACCTCTCTTCTTCACCGCAGTTACTGAAGATAGCATTACTGATCAAGGTCTTGCTATCATAGAAATAATTGTCAGAAATTGTTCTACCATAGTCCAGACTACTAAAATATTCCACAAGTCTATTTCTCCTTTTACTGGTATACGATAACACTGGGACACTATAAATTTGTCTCACTGCTAGACTATAGATCAGAGTGAAGCTAAAATAGGAATTCATTGTTCACAGGAATTAAATAAACCTCCAATCAAAAGAGGCCCAACTATTTCTGATTTTGAGTTCATAAACAAACCCTGTATGGAGCAATAAAAAAGGAAGACCTTGGGGCCAGTCTGGGGGTGTAGTGGTTAAGTTCACACACTCTGCATTGGTGACCCAGGATTTGCAGGTTCAGATCCCAGATGCTGACCTATCCACCACTCATCAAGCCATGCTGTGGCAGCGTCCCTATACAAAATAGAGAAGGTTGGCATAGATGTTAGCTCAGGGCCAATCTTCCCTACCAAAAGAAATAAAAAGCAAAGAAAAAGGAAGACCTTGCTAATATTTTTCAGTGTAGGCTAATGTATAATTCCAAAGATCAACTCAGTAAATAAGGATGGCTTAACTCAAAGAAAAATAATGTTGATAAGAATGGACAAATTACATATTCTTAAGAAAATAGTCCAGAAATACATGTTTTTCTACCAAACTTCTTTTGAGTACAGAGCAGCAAAGAATGAGGTTTTAACACACTAATAAATGCTTGGAGATCAGATATTGAATGCTGTGTATTGAAAGAAAACCCATAGGCTTTAATAGTAAGAACAGCTAGAGGCAAAACTGAAATTCAACAACTTATAATTTTAACTAGCATATAAGTCTAAATAAAAGAACAATTGCATCTCAAATAAAAGTAGATGCCTGAGTCAGTCTTTTATTTTAATGAATATCTCTTACAAATACTTTTATGAAATTTTATTTACATTTAGCCCCTGTTCAAATTTGCTTGTAGTAGTGATGAGAACATAAATCTAGAAACATGATTTGCAAAGTCATCACTTTCCTTCCAAATGCCCAAATTAACATAATGCCAAACACTAGTGTCATTTCGGACCTTGGGAAAACTATGTAACATTTTTAGCCCTTAGAGTTCTAATCTGTGTAATGGAAATGATACTATTACCTACTTCATAGGGTTGTTTTGAGAATTTAGTCAAATTGCATATATAAGCCAATGACCACAAGGTTTGGCACATACTAAATGTCCAGTAAGTGATAGCTACTAACATTGCTGTTCTGATCATTATTATGATCTTTAACATCACTATTATGTCACTATCCTCTCCTGGTAGCCTTACATTTAAAAACCATCTCAAATCCCAGTTTCTTACAATATTTTCTTAATTCTTCTGCAATTTCAACCACAGAGACTCTAAGTAATATTCAAATGATGATGACGATGATAATGATGACAATGATGATGATGATAACTATGACAATGAGGACAAGAAAAACAAGGTTCCAAAACAGCTTGTTCTGAATGATCATGAGAGTTTGGAGAATGCTTATATGGTATCACAGCCAAGAAACCTGGAATGCTTTAATCTAGCCTTTGCCCAGTCATTCCTTCTCCCATGATTTCCACAAAGAAGAAATATGCAAAAAGATCCATGGAAAACTGCAAAAAAAGTTACCAGTTTATTATTGGCTGGTCCGGTACTTAAATTCGAATGCAGAGATCGCTGGTTAGCTGTGTTAGCAAATGTGGCCTGGTGAAAAGGATTAGTGTAAGGGCCTTTCTTACCAGTTTAAGTACAAATCCATATCTCAGGATCTTACTAACTTCAGATAGACCACTCAGTACAAAAGACTGAAGAGATTAGAATGCTTGTAGATGTTTAGAAGGGCAAAGAAAGAGAGTAGGATGGCTAAGATTACCTTTGGAGAAGACCTTTTGACAGTTTCTCTGGCTCTTGCTGCATGGGGCAAGAGGAAGAAAGGAGACTCACAATTAGGTGCAAGACATTTTAATATACCATAACCCCATCCACAGGTAAATGTGGTTCAACAATGTCTAAGATCTGGTTCAAATCAGATTAATATTCCCTTGGAAAGTTAGTATTTCCTTGGAAAAAGGAACAAGAGATCCTCCTCTACTTTGTTTCCCAAACAGTGGTTCAATAACCCTTTGAGTCTACAAATAAAGAGAAATAAA